GTGAGAGAGAGTGGGGGAAGCGGAACAGTAATATGAGATTTCAAAAGAAAAATATCATGTAGAAAATAGAACAAGTGCCTGATGTACACGTTGCAAACGTATAAAAATAGATGAACAAATAAAAAGAAAATGAAAAACCACAAAAGCCAGCTCGCACTACGTATAACAACAGCAGCAACAACAACAACAACAACATTTGCCTCAAATTACATGTTCCAGAAATAATCAATAACTAAAAAGTAAGACGCACAAAAACCACAAACAAAACAAAACCCAAACAATCAGGTCAAATCACGACAAACCAATAAAAAGATCCCCAAAAACACCCCCGCCCATACCGAGCCGCCGTTGTCAGTCTTCATTTGTGCTGCCGTGTCGCACCCAATGGAACCCATAGACTTGTTCACCTAGATAACACTGTGTCATGGCGGGCGGTCTTCAATCTCTTGTTTTAGTTTAGTTTTAGTAAGATTTTACGGCCCTCGCACTGCATAAGGTCATATGAGCGTCAAGGGGTGGATGTCAACAGAGAAGTCCAAACGGGGAATCGGGCTTACTCTGCTCACCTCTCTTGCCTCAACAGCACAAAGTCTGCTTCGACTATCAAGGCACCCCGGAAATAGCAGCTCACAAGAGAGTGACAAACATACAAAAGAAGTAGAGGAAACTGACGATAGTAGGAATGAGGAAAAAAAAAGCAGCATTTCCCCGTATGTTGTTCCGGCACAGTATGAGCATGACATTGATTAATCAGTCCATTTACAATTCTACAGTGCATCGTCATCATCATCCGGTGCCTTGCCGACTGGCGTGGGCGATCATGGACCTCCACTTCACTCTGTCTTGCGTTGCAGCGATGGTGTCTGTTGTTCTTGCTATTCCCAGCCATGTTGTCATCTTGTCCTGTATCTTTTCCCTCTGTTTGCCTCTGCTTCGTTTTCAATCAAACTTGCCTGTTGTTACAATATTCTCCAATGCTTCTTTCCGCATTGTGTGTCCAATGAACTTTGTATATTCGTCATAAGCTGTCTTCTACAATTTGCTTCCACCAGGACTTCTTCATAATTTGTTTTTCTAGCTCTCCATGGGATACCCAGCATGCGTCTTATGAACCACAACTCTGTCGCCACAATTGTTCTTTCCAGCTGTTTATTGATTGTCTATGCTTCGCAACCGTATAATAGGATTGGCTCGATGTAACTTTTCAGTACTCTTTTCCTCGTTTCCAGTGACAGATTGATGTTTGTGAGTATCTGTTTCATCTTGGGGAAGGTTGCTTTTGCTTGGCAAATGCGGCTTTTTATTTCTGTGTGACATCTCTCATCTGATGATATAATGGTCCCCAAATATTTAAAATGTTGTACTTGCTTGAGGGTGGTACCATTGATTTTGATATTGCAGCTTGGGGTTGGGGTTGGGGTTGATCTTTGCTCTCGTGTAAAACCTTTGCTGCGAAACATGCGCACTAGGTCGCACCATTACTCCCAACAAAGGGCAACACAGAAGTCTCTATAATATTTATCTATTATCTATTTGTGGTGGCTATTCAAAAGGCTTTTTAATGGCTGCATCGATCGACATTCGGTTTTCGCCAAAAAATTCTTTTAAATATTCTCCAGATCATGGCGCCCTTGGTTTTTTCAGTTTTGAGACAGTTTTGCTGCAAAAAGCTAAATTTCTTTATTTCGCCGATCGCTTTCGTAGGGCGACGCTTCTGTCTCTGTAATTTTAGAAAATCCGGAAGTGATATTTCGTGAGGCGCCTTTTGTTTTGAGAGTATAGATCTAGACCTTATAATTTTTTGCTTCTCTCAAGATTTATTGCCCCATTCCATTAGAGTGTAAATATAGTAGGCCAATGGCTTTTAGTTGATATTGAAGCACCGGCCTAGACGGTCAGAGAAAGGTTAGTATAAGAACGTGTAGGCACCGCCGATCATTCCTTTCATCGAAAGGGGGCCCAGCTAGTATATTATATTTGTGAAAGTTCGTCACTTTGGTCACCTAAAATTTACGAACCACTTAACTTTCGAATTTGAAAAAAAGCATCGGTAGTTCAGAATCATTTAAAGGGTGCAAATTTATGTTAAGGGGTCTGAAATTCATCATCATCATCATCCGGTGCCTTGCCGACTGGCGTGGGCGATCATGGACCTCCACTTCACTCTGTCTTGCGTTGCAGCAATGGTGTTTGTTGTTCTTGCTGCTCCTAGCCATGTTGTCATCTTGTCCAGTATCTTTTCCCTCTGTTTGCCTCTGCCTCTCTTTCCATCAAACTTGCC